TGCTTAACTTTTTTTTCCACCGTACCTACAAAATATCCTCAGATTGGAATCTATTTCACAACAGAATTGCTACACTCCGACAAACATTCATCAATAATGGATATAATAATACCACATTCGACAAGACACTTCAACGATACCTGGACAGCCACCAAAAAAACACCACTACTGACAACTCCACTGAACAACCCAAAGTCTACTACAAAAACCAATTCTCCACCGCATACAAGACAGATGAACGGATTCTAAAGGATATCGTTTATAAAAACACTACACCAAAGAAACAGAACACAAAACTACAACTCAACATCTACTACAAATCTACCACAACGTCGGACCTTATCATGAAAAACAGCCCCGATAAAAAGACAACAGATCTACAGCAAGTGAATGTCATTTACGAGTACAAGTGTAATAAAGGAGACTGTGAGCTCCTGGCAAACGCCTCCTACATCGGAATGAATACCACGATGTTGTCAAGACAATGCACCTACAAAATGGTGCCATCAAAGAACATTGTGCCCGCATCCACAACAAAAAACTCACACGTCAGGACCTAGTACAAAACACTTAAGTAAAACGCCGATTTAACGACTTCACAACGCTCCAGATACACGAGGCCATACAGATCCTACAGCAAACCCCCACAATCAACAAACAATCGACTGGAACAGAATGCACACTGCTACTTCTTGGCGAGAAACCCCCAAGCCACAATACAACACTCCACCAATCAACGCCTTCCAATGTAGTTGACAGTGCCACCTAATGAGCTAAATACCACCACCCAATTGCCTATAAATATCCACTAACAGTAATCGCAATTCACACAACATTCAGCCTTGATAATGGATGCAGACCGCATTTGAAACGCGTCGGCCAATTCACCACTATCTACAACTTTTGCCCGTTGTTCTAACAACGTTAAAATGGCTTATCGACTTCTTGAGAAGATTTCCAAGAAGAAAGTAAACCTACAGACATCGGTCTTATTCAACAAAATCTGCCTACATGAAAATGTGTCACCAAAGTACACCAAAATTTATATAGTGCAAATAATAGTTAGACATGGTTCAAAGGGCAACAAAACAATAAAATTTAAGTATAAATAGATGTATACTGTTACAAGCTATAAGCTACTTACAATAAACCATTGTGGTTTTCTGTTACAATTTGCAGTCAATCCAGAAGGAAAATAGTGGAAATTTATAATTATTTCCTAATTTGTTATGGTGGTTACAAGGTTGGACAAATCAACTGACCTCATATAGACTTAGGGTAAAGAAAATAACAGATAAAATATAAAGTTTTCCTGAATAAAACATTTATATTTATTTAGGAGGTTTTAGGGGTTGTGTAAATGATATTTAAACATTTTCAGATGAAGAAAAGTATTTTTTAATGTTATCATGAAAATTACTTTGCACTCATAAAGGGAAACAACATGCAGTGTAAATTGTATATAAAGTTTTTCATTCATGCCCTTTTCCACTTGCAGAAGGTAAACATATAGTGTACATTGTAAATAGTGTTTCATTGACACTGAAGAGTTTTTTTCCTTTTTTTTGAGTTTATTAAATTCTACCTATTGGACCCTTGAAAATCTCACTGGAACTTTTGAAAAAAAAAAAAGTTAAGAGTTTGGGACCCTTCACTATGGGACCCTAGTGAGAACCTTGGATAAGTACTATTTAATAGCATAATGTATTGTTTAATATGTTAGACAAGGTAGAGTAGTTGACTGCAGATCTTTGGTAAGTACTTTTGAATACCAGGATTTATGGTGTAATATGTTAGGCAAGGAATATCATCTGTTTTTGTTTTTTTGAAATACTAGTTTGTTGAGATCAGTGGATGACAAAACTTCATTTTGTTTTGCTTTATTTAATAATAGTCTTTTTTCTACTAGGCTGTTACTTTCAAGAACATGGAATCTCTGCTTCGAATGTCAGATATCAGTCCCATTGGAACACTTGGATTTGTTCTTGATGAAGAAGCTTTATTAGTTCGTGTTAGCAGAGGTTGGCAGTATGTGGGAGTGAGTTTTTTAATATATACTTATATGTATATATAAATTTGTTTTCATATTATCTCATTGAAAATATGTCTTGTTTCTTCCTGCTTATAAGAGTTTGGAACAATTTATTTTTATATGTTCTTTGGCATTTTAATGATTTATTAAATATTTTGAGAAAAAAAAAATAATAAAGCATATTTTTCCTTCTTTTATAGTTGGGTTCTTTGGTTCCACTACCCCTGGCAACAACTACTGTAAGTCTAAATAAATTAAATTTGTGGACTTATAAAATATTGAAAAATACACATACAATGCAAATTTTTGCACATTAGACCAGATTTGTTAAAACAGAGCACAGTTCAAAAAGACTTATGTTTTGTAAGTGCTCTACTCAGGTAAAGTCTTTTTATGGTTGTGCTCTGTTTTAACTGTGCAACAATCAGTGTTTTATGTGGAATTTTTAATATTTTACTGTAAATTCTTTGAAATAGTTAGCTTCTCCAGTTTTTAATTTTCTTTGTAGGAGAATAAGCTGGTAACATAATAAGAACTTGAGAAACTTCTGTACCTTGAAGTAATACTCAGATTCATTGCTAGATGTAAGTTATTTATATGTAAGTTCTCTGTGTTGAACAATAAGTATATTTCAGAATCATAATTAAATTTGTGCTAATTAACTTGATTATTTGAAAATAAATATGTATCTATTGAAATAACATGGATTTTAACTATGCATAAGCTAAATATCTTTTATTTGGCTAAAAATTACCCAGAATAATAGTCAGGTTTAACCTGAATGGTGTTTATTGATGAGTTTAAGATTTAGATATTTACTGTAGTCAAATGATGCAGCATTATTACCAGGTTAATTTTAAATACTTGCTTGTCTGAAAAATACATGTTTAAATTGTTATCTTATAATAATAATAAAAGAAACAGAACCCAGATTTAGATCAAAGAACCTCCTTTAATATAAAATAAAATATATTAAATAATACTCTACAATAAATTTCATTCATCTTCCTTTCCTCTTGTATTAATTGGTGCACTATAAATTTTACGTTTCTGATCAGTTTTGTGCTGTTGTTTTTTTTAAACATTAAAAATAATTGTCTAACAGTTAATTCATACCAGTTGTTTTCTGTGTGTCATAGTGGTTGTTTGTGTAAGATGTATATTTTCTTATACTCCAGACCAGTACCACCACAGCACCTCTCAGTCCACCAGTTGACAGCTTGACACTTGAGAAAGCTCCTAGGGTATGTATAATTTCCTTTTACTTGACTCCAAATGTTTGTTTGACAAAACACACAACTGTTCTCTTGTGGTTGTTTTTTTCATATAATAGACCATACATAAGCCAGGTATAGCCTAGTGGCTAACATGCTAGACTGTGAAGCTGAGTGTCCATGGTTCACATCCTGTTGTTACAAAAATGTACTCTGCACTTTGGGACCATGGATGTGTTTTAAGAGTGACAGTAAAACCACACTATTCTATTACAGTAGCACAAAAGTTGATACTGGGTGCTGTTGACTAGCTGTTTTCCCTCTAATATGTCAGTTCAAAATTAGGGACAGCTAACTAAGATAGCCCTCATGTAACTTTGCATGAATATCTGAAACGAACAACAGACTATAAAAATATGATTGAGCTGTAGGCTTTTTTGCATCATATAGAGAAGAACTCTTTTATTGATCTGATAATGCAGGTTTATTATTCAATGAAACATGATTAATTAAGGTATGATTAATTTTTCATTGATTTTTAATATTAATTTTACTACAATAAAATATATATTAAAAACTTTGTACTGTAGTATAGTAAAATATAATATGTATAACTATATTTCATTTGTCTGGCTGAGTATAGGTACTTTTCCTCATAATAATAATAACACCTGCATGAGATGTTATTATGTTGTTTTATTTATTTATTTTCAAATAATCCATCAAGTTAAGCTTATAAATTTGTTCACATGCTTCTGATAACCCAGATGAGGAAAAAGGTAATTGTTTTCCATTTGTTACTAGGTTTATTGAGAAATAATAAGTCTTATTAATATACTACTTCTACAATGTAATCATATTAGTAATTTCATTTCCCAGTAATCTCATTGATATGATTAGCTCTTTTACCATCTGTTGACATTTATTCATACTGCAGAGTAAAAGTATGTCAATTGATTAAATCATTTTTAAATAATCCATAAGTTAAGTGTATCCATAATCAAGAACAGTGGAGGTGAACTGACCCTATGCCTGCATCATAGTATATAAATATATCTGTAAGAAACTAAGTTAGCCAATTGTCAATTAAATACTTTTACTTATTCTTCTTAATAGTATAAATATATACTGTGTTGTTGTTGGACTTAGGATTCTTCTACAGTAGGTGTCTGTGGCTTGTTGGTAATAAAGTCAATGATAAATGAACAGCACGCACTCCACTTTTCAAAATAATATATATATATATTTGGACCAAGTTAAACATGTGTACAACAAATTCTTTTCACTATAGAGATTACAGGTATATCATAAACACTATATATAGTTCTCTTCTTCTTGTCAAAAGTTCACTTAGGCCTATTCAATTGCTTTAGAATTTCAGTTGACAAGCTGAACTACCTTTCTCTATTTCTATCACATTAGTATTCTGTGTATAATTCACTTACTCTTCCTCATTGAGTTACTGCAGTTGTATCCTGAAATTCCGATAATCATCTTCTTTTTCGTTTTTAGGCCTACTTCCAATAATTGTCTGTTTTTTTTTGTCAAAGTCCACAGAGGCAGGTTTGATGAGACAAATTATTCTCCTAAAGTGTCAAAAAACTGTTAATCTCCCTTTAATATATCAACTATTAGGCTATTCACTCCTACAGTGGTTAACTATGTTTTTTAACCTTTTCTTTGGCCACACTTCTACTTCCTGTAACTTTTCTTTCTCATCTGCTCTGTCTATCTGCTGTTTCTGCTCATCTCACATTATTTATATGTTTGTCACTGAATCATCTGCCTGCCTTCTAGAAATCTCTATATTCTCGACGTCAATGTATTGCACGCAATGTTCAATAGTCTCAACATCAATGAATTATAAACACAACTTCCAACAATCGTCTGCTTTTAACTCTGTTATTATGAACAAAACTAAACAATCATAAAATATTCACTACAAGATAAATTAATTAATACTACCCTACACTTAACAGTCTTTTACATTATGACAATATCAAACATTAATATTGCTTTTAGGATGGTAGGGCTGAACTGAACTTATGCATAGAAAATGTGTGTGCGTAAATACCCAATGCCAGTATTTCTTTAAGTATGACTGTACAAAGAAATGTTCATGATCTATGGTAATTAAACAAGGATGAGTGCCTCGACTCACAGCTATTTCTTCCATTACCAGTGGTTTTCTAGGCTTATTAATGGACTGTTGTTCTTACCACATTAGGTATTAGAACAAAATACTGAGGTGAGTGTTGTCTTTACACTCTTTCCATAGTTGATCAAATGTGCATGGACACCAACTCCCAAGGGCCTGTTTGAGCAAACCAAAGGCACAGAAGTCCATGAGAAATGTTTGTAATTGGCATTGTATGAATTCATGTTTTCATTTTCATCTTGCAGAACAACTAACATGTTGACCTGGATGTGTGGTAGCTAGACATTTTGTCTTTATGGAGCCTTATTGGCATCCTATCTGTACAAAGATGGTATTTATTTCCTTGTGATATAGTAGTGTCAGAACTTTAGCCTGATAGTATGCAGAGATTAGTTGGGCATTTTCCTTGACTTTCTTGATGTTAAACTTTCCATTGTAACTGTAGTCACCATAAATATCTTGGAAACATTTTCATAACCTGCTATGCACCATTTTGAAAATTTGGTATCACCAACAGAAATATAATAAGTTAACAAACGTTTTGCAGACACTTAAGAAGACATGTTCCATCCTATGTGGCTACATTTTTCCATTTGTCACCTGCTAGATACCGCTTGTACAGCTTTTTAATGTTGGTTTCCCAATCACGGATTAGCATGTTTTTTCTGCTGAAATCATCCCTGCCTTTACTTTACAGATACTGTTCAACATTGCAGATATCCCTTTCTTCAAACCTCTTACACATTCATGCCTTGCATGTGTTTATATAGCAGAATAAAAGGACTTTATGTCATAAAGCCCTGTAATGTCATTCTTTCAGAAGACCAATTTCTGGTTTCACCTCAATTGCAAAAAAAAACAGGGTCAATGCTTTTCACATGTGTAGTACAGTCCTTTAGGTTGAACAGGGACAAGGTGATTGGATATGAAGGTTTTTAATGTACATTATGAAAACCAATCCCCTGTAGAGAACAGACTATGTAAATATCCAACACAAATTTTTTTAAGAATAGCAGGGCCGATTTAATTTGTTTACAATACATTTAAGTATAAAAACTTGTTTTTTCTTAAGAACAACAACACTGAGCCAACTTTGTACAACAAGATATGTACGTAAATGTCTAACATTTCCCCTCATAATGGCAAAACTGAATTCACTTATTTAACAGTAGTCTTTCTTTAAAGTTAATGAAACTAAATCAACCTTACTCACCAATATCTATTTTACTTTCCATTGTTGTTTTTCCTACAGTTAAGGATAGCAGCACTGAATCAGCCTTATACTGGAGATATGCATGGTGTCCGAGGAGCTGATTATGAGTGCTATCGACAATCTAGAAAGGCTAACTTACGGGGAACTTTCCGAGCTTTTCTTGCCTCTAGAGTTCAAAATGTGAATAGCCTCGTCCATTACATGGCTCGAGATCTTCCAATAGTAAATATAAAGGTACGTGACATTAAGAAATGTATTCTTGTATTAAGAAATGTACCAATCAATACATGTGTGTATGTTTAGACAGTAATCTTATTATGTATGCTAACTGTGTAATACTATTTAATACAAAAATATCACACATTGTTCAGGTCAAAAATTAAAGAAAATAGCAGGTAGAGCCTATCCAAAAGATGTATAAAATCAGAAAAAATGAAATACATTTAAGAAAAGTAGAAAATATAATTAATGAATAAAATAAGGAAAAAAATTCGTCTAAAAATTAAAACATAATTATTAAAATAATTTGCAGTGTTAAGTTTACAAATTTAATACATTTCTGTGCTAGTTACCAAGTTGTTAAAGATATCTGTTTATTTCTGTGTTCTGCAAGATGTATTTACTAAGATTTACCTCTTTAGGGTGAAGTGTTATTTAACTCTTGGAGAGATATCTTTACTGGAGCTGGAGCAGTTTTCCCATATCCTCCACGGATTTATTCTTTTGATGGAAGAAATGTCCTTGCAGACAATACATGGTAAGGATCATAAGATTATTTAAAACTAATCTAGTGGACAACACATGGTATGGATTGTAAATTTGTTTCCTTAGAGTTTCACAAAAATGCCATATATTTCAATGACATTTAGAAAAATATTTCTTATTTTTTCATACAGGACCCAAAAAATAGTTTGGCATGGCTCAGATAAACATGGAATTCGTGACATGGAAGGCTTCTGTGATGCCTGGAATTCCAACAGCCTCAAAAAAGTGGGTGTTGCCAGTTCTCTACTGCGGCACAGATTACTGGATCAAGAGAAGTACTCCTGCAACAATGCTTTCATTGTTCTATGTATGGAGGCCATGAGTCAGCAAGAGCTCCAACACAGAAAGAAGCGAGAGACAGGCAGAGATTTCACGGAAGAAGAGTATAGTGAACTGATAAACACACTAGAGCAAGAGAACCTATTGGAAGATATAGAACAGTAAGCTTCACAGGAGGCTCTCTGAGAATGTTAGTTGCCATGGTTATATCCAGAACAAACGTGGCAGCTAGTACACTGAATAAAGGAAACAACTTAGAGAGAGTAGAATCATAAGTGGGAGTTTTTCTCATCCCTGTTTTTTGAATAACAAAAGCCAAATATTCCTAAGCTTTCCAAAGGTGTTATTATTGTCATTGTTTTAGTAAGTTCAAACAACAATTTTTTCAGTATGTTAATGTTTATATTATAACTTGACTCAATTGTTTAACTATTTTTTATTTTTTTATCAACAGTGTAGTTCACCGTAAACATTCCTTTCAAAGTAGAGTTTAGTGTAAGAAACAATCTGAAATTGTGCTATACTTTAAACTTAATGTCCATCAAAAGTCACAATACTCATAATGGACTATGTAAAAGTTTTATGGCATTTATTAGGCTACAAGAGCTTTCTTGCTTTACCAGAAAAAGAAGTTGGTTTGTTAAAAGATAAGAAGCAGGGAATTAGAAAAACTTACCACTCACGTTACACCAGCCTCTGTCCATGAACTTTTGGTGAAGCTACCTTGTGCTTGTTGCTGTGCCAAATTTTTCAAATCTTTACAGTTTAATTACTTATAATAAAATGTTTCAACTTATTTTAGATTTACTAAGTTTTGCTTGTGTTAATTGACATTCAAATTCTTGAACCCCTCTATGTTATGTTTATTTGGTTGTTTATACCTTTTTTGTAACTGTGATAAACTTGTCTATTGTATAAAGGGTCAGATTTCTTCTAAATCATTTCAGGTTGAACCCACCAGAACAGTTGAAGAATCGATAGGATATGCGAAGTACTGTGTAAACTGTTTATTCATTCTGTAGATTGATACCCACACCTTGAAGGTTATTAAATCATATTAATTTGCATTTAAACTGTTCAAATCATAATTGTACTCCATCGGTTTATAATTTCTTCAGTTATTGAGTTAAAACAGCACTCTTTTCAAAACAGTCCTTAATTCTTTTGCCAAAAATGCAATTCCATTTGTTAGTTTTTATTTTGAACCAATAAGTCTTCTTCCAATTGTTTTCAGTATCTACAGTTACTTACAATAGATACTGATTCATCTGTTTAGTGTTCAGTTTTTTAAGTTAGTGTGTGTTAAAATAATATTCTTCTGCTCAGTTTTTGACTACTTTCATTCTTATATTGAAGGAATAGTCCTGTCTCTATCCTTGTTCCCTTAGCATCCGATTTAATTCTTTTGTTAAAGCAAACAGCTCATTTCAACTTCTAAGTCATCTTAGTATTGATTTCTTCACATAATTTTTATGCTGAAACAAGAGTTTGATTTCAGTTTCTGATTTTCTTAGGAATTCTGATGTTAAAATAGTTCTCTATCAATATTTGATCCTTCTTCTTAATGTCTGATTTCTTTAGTTACTTTTCTTTTTAACTTGTTCAGCTTGGGGTGAGTTTTTAAATTAATTTTTATGTTGAAACTTTTATTTCTTTTCCAATATGTAATACTTGTACTGAAGCAGTGCTTTACTCTTTGGATCATTGAAAAATGATATTGTCCAAATATTTCTAAATTTTGTGTTTTCGATGGTTACTATTAATTAAAAATGACATCATCCTGTCAGTACTTTATAGCAATTATACTAAACCAGTGTGTCATAATTAAATTATAATTGTAGAATGATAATCTGTTAACAATTTTTTTCTCTCATGTCTAAAACAAGAATTGGTGTCCTACTGACTAGTGCATGATTGATATTGTTCTTTAAAAAAAAGCAATAATTTTGTGAATTAGTACAGAATCTATGCAAATATATAATTGTTTTAAAACACTAACCTATTGAATAATGAACATTCTGTAGATTGGATTTTAAAAAACAACTAAGTAATTCATGATCTATGCATTTGTTGACTAGTTACAATTAAAATGTGTAGCTTTGTGTAATTGATGTGGTACTTTATTTCCAGATGATTTCTTTATCTTTGTATGTCACTATGTTGTTTATGTTCTTTTCAACTGTTAATTCTGTGAGAATTGTATGTATGTTACTTCCCTGCCTGACTGTAATAACCATTGTCAATATTTATCAAATAAGAAATGAAAAGTGTGCAGATTGCCAACAGTGTTTACTGTTTTTATAATCTCTTAAAGTAAGAGTCACACAGACTGAAATATTTTAAATTTTAATTAAAAGAAATTCAACAGTAAGAAACACAGTGCAAAATTAACATTAATAAACCTGTTGACTTATTTAATTCCCACACTTTTCTTGTTTAAACATTGTTAATTTTACCTTACCAAAATAGGCCTACATTCAACTATCCAAATATTTTGTTTACTGGTGCAGTTATATAGGGAAATATTTTTGAAACATTAAAGTTTAAGATTTCAATTATTGATTTATTTAATATGAAATTTAACTTCTGTAACCTGGTTCATATTTTAAAGAAGATTCTTTATGAATGGCTCTAAAAGTCCACATCAAATAGAAAACATTTTTTTAGTTGCAATGGGAATTTTAAAAGGAGATAACATTAAAAACTACTTACAAATGTTGGTAAGTAACCAGCTCTAATAAATCTCTCTGAGGCGGAATTTGTTACAAAAGTAAAGAATGGTAGTAAACATTTTTATTGTTGAGAAGTAACAGGTCAACTCAAAAATTGGGATATTGCTAATAAAAAGACAGTTCTCAAAAGAAACAAGAAACTAATACAGAAGCTTATAATACACTTAGCTAAAAGGTATATATCACAAGAAATGACACCTTAAAAGCTTATAGGATAAAGTTAATAAATAGTTCTATTTGTAATTGATCAATATGCAGGGACTAAACCCATGTAAGCATGGAATCAATGAGATTTGATATTACACTGTAATTCAGGTTTTGCCAACAGATCATTCACATTGGCAGCAGTCGTTGAGTTTTTCACAATTGTTTATGGAAGTTTTCTCCAACTTGTGCTCGTGGCAGGAATCCAGGAATAAAGCTGCAGCCCCTCTTGTCTCTTCCAGGTAGTGGGGCAGTCTTCCTGCACATGGTGTGACGTAATTTATACAACCTCTTGGCACTGGTGTAGTGATATGAATGGTTCTGAAGGATAGTAATTATATGTGCAAAACTGAGATGTCCCTTGATGAACACCAATTCAGTCATTCCACTTGTAACTAATTGCAAGGTTGTTGTTTAAGACTCATAAAGTAGGTAAATTAATATGTAAAATTTTAAAGCAGTGTTCCAAAGTTTAACAAATGTTTACACTCACTGCATTGTTGCTCAATAAAGGCTCTAGTAAGAGGGCTGAAAGCTCGCAATAAAAGTATTTTAACATAGAGAAGTCCTTTTATAATTCTACATTATTGCATGATGTTGCAACCAACATGGTTACCATTGCCTTTAAGCAGTCATTCCACAATTACATTAAAATGATTTATTTTTGACAAGAAAACCACATAATTTCTCTTATTTTAAATAATATTTGACTATTTTTATCAAAAAATAACTCACTGAAAATAAATCCAAATAAGTTTGCTCTACAGCATAGCTATAGTACTATGCAAAATAAGAAGCCATTAGTAACATAAATTTTAATCTTTATAAACATAGGCTGGACTTAATTGGTAAATTGGTCTATTCAATGGAGCATTTCCTGGAACAGTGTGATGCTTAATTTGACCTGCATCCAGCCAGTCAACCAATCACAGTGTGTTACAAAAAAGCTGCTAATTTGACCAAAACATAAGATTTTTTTTTTGCACATTAGTATGAGAATAGTCCAAGATGCGTGAGTCTTGCATTTGATGGGTAATTGTTGGTAGCTCTGGTATAAGGTTGGGGATTTGATTTAACATTCTAAAGTGTCTTTTGATGTTTATTTTGTTAATGTACATTAAATGTTTGTTAAATACAGTTGCCCTTATGATTTCTATTTGGATTATGACAGTGCAGTAGGTAAGACAACCTCACTAATATCTCTTACACATTTCTGGTGCTATAAGCAAAACCTGGCTGGTGTCCTTTTTTCACAATAATTTTAAGTTTCTGGTGAGGATTTGGGATAATCTAAAGTCTTGAAAAATTCTACATTCTATAACAAAATCCAAATACCAGTGCATATGTTCAGTATGGCTAAGAAGGAGTATAGGGGAATATACACTAGATATATTTCACAATGCCCCTGAAGCTGTATTAAGTAAACTATGATATATTACATTATGATTATGTTTTAATTTGAGTAATAGCTGCTTCTTTGGGACCCAAGCCCAAATCTTTTTGGTAGCTTATGACACCCCTGCTGCAAAGGGTGTGTGAGTGCCAAAGAGTATAGGTTTTTCTCGTAGTGACTACAAAGCACATTCACACCAATGATATGTTTGATACTTTTCACTATGATATAGGTCCAGCTTATCTCTCTTTGGATAACTTGTGTTCAGGGTTACTAAAGAGGAATGGAATTCTTCACAACTAGTATAACTCAATAACACACGTTGATCAATTGGACCTCCCTTGAACTTAGACTTTGAGATTAAACAATTTTCAGAATACTGAGGTCATTTATTATAAGAAAAGTAATAACTGATAGTAGTGGGTTATAAAAAGTCAGGACAACACCTTAAGGACATTTTAACGTTATCATTATCTTTATATACACCTGGTGAGGGCGTGGATGGTTCCAGTTTTGTATCTTTGAGGGCATTCACTCTGAGCATTGAGGTAGATTCCCTGGCTTGTGGGTTTTTGATAGACAGATGTGGCATATGTGCTGTTGTTAGCGTCGATATGTACATCCAGAAAATTGATGGTTTTGTCAGTGGCTATTTCGTGGGTGAATTTAAGCACAGAGTTGTCCTGTAGGTTTTGTCAGGGTATCATTAATTCATCGGTGTCCTTGGTAAGGATGAAGCAGTCGTCAACGTATATACAGTACAGTGCGGGGTGGTGGTCCCTGTGGATTTGTGGCGTGTAGTAAGTGGAGGAAGTCATCTGTAGATGTTAGCATGTGTTGGGCAGGCATATATGGAGTGATGATGTGGTTTAGGTCTTTGGCAGTCTTGTATATAGGGGTAGGAATTTGTGATATGATTGGCTGTTGTTCTGATAGGGTTGTTCTGTTTATGAGTTTTTATGGTTCCATAGATATATCCAGGCGCATAGTCTCCTATGATAGTTTGGAGAACCTTTTCTTTCTCTTGTTTGTTAACAGTGGCAATCAATTTATTAACTTCTATTTTTAGTGTTTTTGTCGGGTCAGCTCCAATCCTCTTAAACTTGCTATTATCCGATAGAATGGCGTCCAATTTTGTCTTATATTCCTGTTTGTCCATGATCACTAGAATATTAGCTTTGTCCGTGCGTCGCATGATGATGTCGTCATGGTTCCCGAGTTCCATAGCGGCTGTACGGAGTTTTGGTGTTAGCAGGGGGTTGTTGTCATGGTCACGTCGTTTCGTGCTTTCCGCACGTAGTTGTTCCCGCAAGGCTGGATTTATGGACCTTATCGACAAGTCTCATGACTAGAGTTGAGAGCAGTGTGTTCCTGTGCTCATACTGGACACGTATCGTAGGAGATGAATGCTGCATGACCATTAGATATATGTCTAGTGGGCCTTTCAGGTTCTCCAAGAATGCTATCTCCACCAGTAGTGCCTGTTCCTTGTTTTCATTGATCCTACTCACGATGGAATTTAACTTGTTCTTCTTAACAATTGCCATTTCCTCTTTTTGCAGGTATTTTCAATATTAGATCAATCCTGGTAATAGCTTGTTAAACCTTTGGATTTTTGGTATAAGTGTAAGCTAATTGGTTTGCAGTAACAAGTCAAACTGCTTTCTTTCCTTTGAAGTTGTAGTTTCATCAAAATACACAGTGAACTACATTCCATAATCACTTTCACTATGAGTCTGTGAAAAGTGGTCCAGTCCCATGACTTAGAATATACTATAGACTCACAGCTGGCAAGACTAAAGTTGTCATTAACAACTTTCCTTGCCCACAGAATTTCAGCTTCCCTTGCTTGATCAGCTATGGTTAGGTAACATTGAACTGTTTTCTAAGCAGCTTTGCCATGAACTGCAATGGACTGAGCTTGAGTAGGTGTAGGAATGACCACATTATCCAAGGATAGTGGAATTAAGAAACTTTGTTCTGCATTTTTCTCAGATTGACATGTACTCTTTGAATCTACTTTAAGGAAATATGCACCTATGGTTCTCTTACTAGCATGTTGTGAACTTGCAGGAAAGATATCATCTTGGTAACTCTCTGTCTTAGATGAGGCTGTTGATGGAATATCTATTGAGGCTGCTAATGGACTGTCACCAGGCACAAGGTTGTCTGCAGATACAGTTGGCATTGTACATTTAGGGTTGTTACACTGTTTCTCCTTTATCACCTTGCCAAACCTCAAATTATCCATTTTGGTATGCTTCTTTCCAGAACTGTGTGGTGAAGTGCTTGAATTCCCATGTGTTTTACATTTATATCTCCATCACACAGCTTACAATGCCCTGTAAAGTTAGTGTTTTCTTAAACCAAAGATTAATTTGGTGCCCATTTTTGTATATTTTTCCAATCCAATGTGCGTGGATCTTTGTCTTTCAGTGACACATCTTGAAACAAACTTACTATCTGAAACCAAGAGAGCTACTCTATTGGTGGATATGTATGTGAAGAAAATTTGCGTTTCACACAAAATAAGTCCCAGTTCCCAAAATTCATTAAATGATGTTGGAGAAACTACCTCAAACCATAGTAATACAGGGTTAATATTATGCCACCACTGGTCGTATCTATTTCTGAAAAGTCAGTTTCAGTTTGAAATCATGTAATATCATCATGTGTAAGCAAACAAGGACTTAATATGTATGATAGCTGAAATTTTGACATGCTAAACGATTCATTAGGTAGTTTGCATACACATTTATATTGCAAAATATCTCAAACATTAATGTCAGGCTGAGCTACAACATGGAAACTTTACAGTACTTGGTGAATTGGTGTAAAACCAATGGAGCTCTTTAGATTCTTCTCTAAGTTATGCTTTATTGGG